ATAATTAATTTATCTATTTATTCACAATAATTTCAGTCCGCAGACCACATTTAAGAAATGTCCAGTCTACAAAAACTCATAATTACACTTATTATAAACAATAATGCGAAAACCCTCGACTATAAAATAAAACAAGAACGTCTTAACAATCACAATAACAATTGCGGGCCAAGAAAAATACATGTGCATTTCACTAACTTCACAAGCAATACTAGTAAAAGTAGTAATTATTCACAGAAAGCCAAACAAAAATTCAACTGCAACTAAGATTGTACTCGAAGATCGGGCGGAAATAGCTTAATATATTAAAATAATAAAAAAAAGTTACTCTATCATGTTATCGTGGTTATTAAAATAGTACTTAAAAATAATTACACATAAAATAAATTAACAATAATTTCTAATTTATATAACTGTTATCACAAGAAGATTCGGATCTACTCAAGTACCTGTAATATTAAAATTCATTTTACAATATTAATTAAAAGATAGAAAAAATATAAACATAAATATATGGTCATTCCCGATACTGCAAGAATACTACTTCAATTTATACGAATAACGAATTTTCCTTTTATGATATCGAATACAGGAATGTGTAAAATACAGTTTGAAATTTTCTTTATTAAGGGAAAAGCTCCAAATTCAGGATTTACTCAAATCTGCTACAGGGAGTTTATTAAGCCTGGTTTAAAAAATAGAGAGTATCTTACAATATTTAATTTCATATGTGTTACACACATTAAGTGGCACAAGGCTTAATTACAGGAAAGATGTGGAAGCGATAGAAAAAAAAATTTTTATAGAATTATTAGTGCTATGTTTTTCAAATTTTATATTACATATAAAAAAAAACATTTTCAAAATAAATATAATATGTTTCTTTGCATCTTACATTTTTCTGTCATCTGGCATTCGCTATAAACTTCGGGACAACAAATTTCCAACTCTATCGGTTGTTGTATTACAACTTTGTTGTCACCTTTTATTATTATGACCATGAGAACAAAGGAATTAAACGAAATGTATTTTCTGATTCCCTTACTGCAAAAGATAAATTTCTGATTTACTACCATGAACGATATTTTCCTTTATTCAGATATCGATTAAAATAGTAAAATCGAGTAGATTTTTGCAGTAAGGGAAAAGACTAATAATTAAACAGAATGGGGTCAACTCAAATAAATGCTGCAAGGAGTATTATTAATTCTGGTTAAAAAAATATAGAGTATCTTACAATATTTAATTATATAGGATGGGGTCTACTCAATTAAAAGCCACAAGGCAGAATCACAATTACACAATCTCAAAGGAATTAAAAAAAAAACTTTTTACCATGAATTATTAGTGCTATTAGTATTCATAAAAAAAAACAAAATTAAAAACCAATTAAAACTACTTAGACATTTCTGCGCCTCTTGGGCTGAGGAGCTTCTTCATCTTCTTCGCTATAATCCTCGGGACAACTTACCTCCAACTCTATTTGTGTCTCATCTGTTGACTTTGTTGCATCATACAGCTGACCAGCGAATCGAAGGAAGTCAAGGAAATGCGTTTTCAGATTTGCTTGGCACCATCTTAAGAAGATAAATTTCTGAATATATATTTATTTATATTTAGAAAGTGATCCCTTGAGATGGCGCCATAACCCATTAATAGTATTAGTATGTTGTCCCGATTCGGGGTCAACAAAATCTAGGCTATGGTTTACTCGGAAATGTGTATAGCCCTCCTCCGACTAATTATCATAAGCCTAAAAAATAAAAAAAAATTAATAATAACTTTTCATTTATCTTCAAACACTCACCTTCCAACAATCGGACACTATGATAGATCCAGGCTGAATATACTTTTTAATGATTGGAATAAGGGTATCCCGACCTCTTTCCCCACAGGAACAATAAAACAGTGGTTGTTGCCCCTTTCTACCCCACCAAACACCCATTCCGCTTCCACAGCGTGTCCTCGGTTTTATTTCCGACGGCCAATCTTCGATTCGTCTATTTCGAAGGTTATTCCAGGGCCGCCAATCGGCAGGCATGTCTGGAAACTACTGAAAACAACTACTTCATGACAGAAGTTGTTCCAGTCCACTGCAGTTTGTTTGCTCATCCCCGTTTCCTTCATAATATCCGATAACGGACCCACATGAAGGCAAATACGAGGATCGAAATGGGTCCGTTCTCCTTGGTATTAAAAAGTTTAATAAACTCGAAATTTTTTAACATTTTGAACACTCTATGCCAAGCAAATATGTTACAATTTTGTTGTTAAGGGGACCCCCCCATTCTCGGTGTCAAAAATTGTTTTGATTTAATTCGAATCTACTCTAATTCTAGAATGTCTCTACAAAATTTCAAGTGAAAATCTCAAGAACTTTTAAAGATATAGCCGATTTATTGTGTTAGCATCAAGTGACGGCTAAAGGGCTTCTCAAACTTTAAACGCGTTTTTCTCAAAACGAATGGCGGGCACGATAACTCAAAAACTAATAATCCAATCGGTTTCAAATTTTGACACGTTTCTCTGGGAGTGTGTAGCTCTCGTATGAACTAGGATAAAGCTAATCGGTGAAGATCTTCCTTATTTTTTAACTTAGTTTGTGGTAAAAAATAGGCGATTTTCCATAAAATTTTTTTCAAAGTTCCGCCATTTTGTTAATTGTTGTGCGAAGTCAATAATCCTAGTTCATACGAGAGCCAGACATGTCCTCTTTCTAAAACAGTTGGAATTTTCGGATTCCGATGTTCCAGTGAGGAGTTATCATGCCCGCCATCGTTCCGCCAAATATGGACTTTTCTTTGAACCCAAAAAACAACAACAAAACAACAACAACAAATTTTGGTAAATTATTTTTCTTCCTTTTTAAATCTTCAAATACATATGTGCCAAGTTACAAACCTTAACAAGCATTGGTATTCATTTACCAGCCCATTTAAAATCTTAAAAATAAAAAATCGAGAATGGGGGGGGGGGGTTCCCTTAAACAAAAAACAAAAAGTTTGAGAAAAAAAACTCGGATGACATAAATTAAGAATAGTACATACAACACTATTCTACGTAATTCTGAGAGCTAACTACTGGCCTGTTCCCGTACTGCAAGAATCTACTATTTTTTACTACGATAACACTTTTTTCCTTTATGATATCGAAAAAAATAGTAAAAACTCGTAGATTCTTGCAGTTCGGGAACAGACCAAATTATATATAATTATACCATGAGTCCATGGCACAATGAATAGGTAGTCCATTTAGCGCAGCTGATGTCTTGATTAACTGTCAAAGTGGATAATTTCTACTTGTATTCGATGTGCAATGTTGCCAACCGTGTTAAATATTATATGGAAAAATTTGACAGATAATCGAGACAAAAACAAATGTTTTTGTTTTGATACATCACCTTATTATTGCATCATGGCTTTTACCTTATGTTATTATACCATAGAGAACTAGTTCACTTGCTCCTTTACTTGAATCGTTGATTCGCGAACTAATGTCGACCTTGGTATCCCTACTCGCATATGTCTGCATTTGTTATTGATTGTGCTGCCGTTATCGGCGACTTGCGGTAACCCTAATCGGAAAATTCTCCCATTCCCTGTTGTCATCAAGCGGTGTCTATTACACTTCATTCGTAAATTTTCCTTTTTTCCATTTTGAGTTTCTTCTTTATCGGCCATTTTGCCTTCTCGCACATTTGTAGCAGGTGGAACGTTTTTACTTTTTCTAGGCATCACTCACTGTATATGTATATACATTCATTTTCGGCTTTGCAGTCGCGTCCGATTAAAGAAATATCTTTTTTAACTTGAAAATCAATGCAAATAATTGTGTAAAACATCAATAACTCAACGATAGATGCATGACCGAGTGATGAGCAATAAATTTTGAAACAGAAACAACAATTTATGTCATAAATAAATGTGAATATAAGCGTTTTTAGTTCTTCGGTTCAGCGTTTGAGACCCAGCATTTTTTTACTTTTTTGTGTAGTCCGGACCAACAATATAGACAAGCGGCGAAAATGATTTGAGCATTGTTGAGTTGTTCAAATAGATTTTGGAATCGAATAAACCTTTTTTTGTCATACCACCATCACCCATTCATTCCTCATCGCCATTAATTCTTGTTTTTTGGTTTGTCATATAACCATTCAGTCAAGTCAGCCACCCAGCCAGTAGTCTGTTCTCTGTCGTCGCCACTCAGACTGATGTGGTAAACAAAAGGTATTGCGTTTCGACATCGGCATTCTTGTTGACGGCAAATAATTGGCAGATATTCCTCCTTCGCTTGCACTTTCACAAGTTTCCGCACGTCAACAATCGGATCAGCGGTGGACATTGTCGAACCCCGCATTGAGTAGCAGAGTGACTAAAATATCGACATAAATATATTTTAGGTAAGTTCATTATTTTTAAGGAAATGGGAAATTAAACAAAAGACCGACCGACCTTCCTAAGCGATTATTGGCATTGTTGTGGTTGGTCAAGAGTAAGGGTGGAGGGAGAGGGGGTTAGTCTGTGTTTTATTTTTTTTGTTGCAGCGATGCCATTGACCGTGGTGTAAACAGAAACAATCTTAGTTACATTGCATATTTTGCGATTGCTTCTATATTTTTTCAGCTAAGACAAAGGAATAAATAATTGTTGTCTGCGATTCTATTTACGACCACATGGATTTTAATTAATTTTATAATGTTCATATGGAATGAATCCATTAGTACATCTAAATGGTCTAGGAAAACTTCGAGTAGCCTAATAACAACATGCTGCTGTTATACATCCAAAAACTTAACCTAACTACAGGATGACCAAACAGAACTGTCTAGCAATGAGTCTGAAAGTAATTTGGGAAATAGGATTTTTTTGTAAAATATAATTGATTCATTATCATTATATTTAGTTTATGACGTATTATTTGGCAATCAGTGGCACAACAATTAGTTCTATTCTAAATTTAAAGTATCTATTATTTTTATTAGTATTCTATCATTTCATCTTTGGATTTTCAATCTACAGGTATAGTTATGTCTGCAACCGCCGGAAAACGGAAGGAAATCTACAAATATTTGGCACCATGGCCATTATATTCGATGAACTGGAGTGTGCGACCAGACAAACGATTTCGTCTGGCTCTGGGGAGTTTCATTGAAGAATACAACAATAAAGTGCAAATTATAAGTCTGGATGAGGAGACCAGCGAATTTAGTGCTAAAAGGTAATTTCACAAATTTAATGTTGTCTTTCCAAATGCCTGAATTTTCAAAACATTTTTATATTTTAGCACTTTCGATCATCCATATCCCACAACAAAAATTATGTGGATACCCGATTCCAAGGGCATATATCCCGATCTTCTAGCCACAAGTGGTGATTACCTACGTGTTTGGCGCGCCGGTGAACCAGATACCCGCTTGGAATGTGTTCTAAACAATAATAAAAACAGTGATTTCTGTGCACCATTAACTTCATTCGATTGGAACGAAGTTGATCCAAATCTAGTTGGTACTTCATCGATAGACACAACCTGTACAATATGGGGTTTAGAGACGGGACAACCACATGGTCGCGTGTATGTGGCTGGACATGTAAAAACACAACTGATAGCCCACGACAAAGAGGTATACGATATTGCCTTTTCGCGGGCCGGTGGTGGTCGTGATATGTTTGCTTCAGTCGGAGCTGATGGTTCAGTACGAATGTTTGATTTAAGACATTTGGAGCATTCAACAATTATTTATGAGGTTAGTTAATTGCATTTGGACATCTGCGGTGATGACAAATAATGAGTTTTTTGTTTGTTTCAACGATAGGATCCCACACATACTGCTTTACTGCGTTTGGCATGGAACAAACAGGATCCAAATTACTTGGCCACCGTAGCAATGGACTCGTGTGAAGTTATAATATTAGATGTCCGTGTTCCTTGTACACCTGTTGCAAGACTGAGCAATCATAGAGCGTGTGTCAACGGTATTGCGTGGGCGCCGCACAGGTAAATATTTATCGGATTTTATAATATTATGAGGGTAGAAGTGAAACATTTCTTTGTGCACATGTTTGTAAGATGCAAAAAAATATGCATAGAATCACTTTCTGAGTTGATTTATGCTTGCCCCTCTGTTGATGTTAAATTTTAAACAAAGTACAGGTCGCATTTATAATCCGATTTTAATGAAATTTGGAACTGCTGATTTATTTGGCCCAAGGACGTACCCTATTGAAGTTAGTGAAAATCGGTTTAGATTTAAAAATAGCTCCAATATATTTTCGTCCGATTTTATGTAAATGGAGCACCAAAGCCCACACATTCCTTTCGATGTGTACGAAACTTTGCATAGGGTACTGAATTGAGTCTAGAATGATTTATGCTAAGTTCTGTGAAAATCGATTCAGATTTACATATAGCTCACATACAGTAGCGTGCATTATAATAGCAGTTATTATATTGAACATACCATTTTGGTGTTCTTGATTTATAAACAAAAGAATTTAAAAAAAAAGTTTTTTTTTCACTTATTTATTAGTTGCTTTGCTCTCTTTAAATTAAATTATAAACCACTGTGGTCTCATCAGTCCATAAAATGTTAGGCCACTTAAACAGAGGTGCTTTTTTTTGCAAATTTTAATCTTTTGAAGGTATGTATTTTTTTTTAAGTAGATGTACTTTTCTGGGAGATCTAGCATACAAATTGTGATGCAGCAACAGTCTCCTGATTGTACATGCATGAACTCAAGGTTAATTTTTTGTTTCAATTCCGTAATAGATGATTTGGGCTCATCTCGGACTCTTCTTAAGATTCCTTTTTCTTCAAATTGAGAGATTTTTCTATTTCGCCCACGCGTTTCTGGTTTGGAAGAGCATTAGATATAATTTTCGCAAAACAGCCAACCTCATCTTGTATAAATTTGTAAGTTTTTCCTTCAGAAGTCAATTTTTGAGTGAATTCTCGTTTTTCTTTTGGTCAGTGTTTTCCGCGGCACTTTTTTCCAAAACTTTTTAACATAACTTTTTTAAAAATTATTATAAGCTAAAAATATTCCGACCACAAAAACAAACTAAAAACTTGAATATTAATGCGATTTTACACGTTTTCTTACTTCACTGCTATTATTATGCAAGCGAACATAAGAGAAAGGCAAACAAAAAATATCGGTAAAATTTTTCAGATTATTTTCATTCTTTAAATAGAAATAGCATAAAGTATGGAACAAAATAGCGATTAAAAAATGTAGAAAGAAATCAAATTTTACCATTATTTTATAAAATATCGCGCATATATTAAGAAACAGTACTGAACTGCTATTAATTTGCACCCTACTGTATATATTTTCGTCCGATTTTATGTAAATGGAGAACCATAGCCGCAACATTTCTTTCGATTGGCAAGAAATTTGGCATAGAATAGAATGAATTGAGTCTAGAAAGGTGTGTGCTAAGTTTCGTGAAATTGGTTCAGATTTATATATATAACTCACATATGTATTTTCTCCTATTTTACGTAAATGGTATACCAAAGCCCCTACATTTCTTTTGATTTGCACGAAATTTGGCATAGCGTACTGAATTGATCCTAGAATGATGTGTGCTAAGTTTTGTGAAAATCGGTTCAGCTCGGTTTAGCTCCCAAAAATTTTTTTCGTCCAATTTTATGGTGCACTAAAGCCTCTATATTTCTTTTTCTGCAACACAAATGACCACTCAACTAACCACCAAAGCTTAGAATAAAGTATAAACTCCAATCAAACAAAAAGGATGACACTTTGGAGTTCAGTTGCCAATTGAATTTGAAATCACACAGTTACGATTAAACAATGTGTAATTTTTACAACGGCAATTAATATATAATTTATTTCTAAGTATTAATAAGGACAATTTTTAATTTTCTGATGCTGCATTTCAATCCATGACAACAACATTGTATCTTTGTTAAACATGTTTAACTAAACATTTATATATATTTTTGAGTATTGTTTTATTGTGACGATATGCGAACTTTTGAATTCATAAATAGATTTGCACAACAGTTAAAAATTGAACCGACCCATTGCACCTTTTTGTGTTTGCAAAATTTATAATACCCTTTTTTATTTCTTTTTTAGTTCCTGTCATATATGCACTGCCGGTGACGATCACCAAGCACTGATCTGGGATATACAGCAAATGCCACGTGCAATCGAGGATCCAATTTTAGCGTACACAGCCGCCGAAGGTGAAGTCAATCAAATACAATGGGGTGCAACGCAACCCGATTGGATTGCAATTTGCTATAACAAAGCATGTGAGATCTTGCGGGTCTAGAGACAACATAGAAATCGTCGCCGTAGCAATGCTCAAAGGACGTTGTATATTGGACAAGTTCTCATATATGCACCACCACCACAACAACAACAACAGCCACAACCACAGCCACAACAAAATTTAATAATAATGAAACAAAAATCTTATATTAACTACTAATACTACTACTACTAACTATAACGATAAAGATAATTATTACTACGTACGTATAGTCAAAAAAAAAAAAAAAAAATGTCATCGTCGTCGTAATCGTCACACTCATCGTCGTTATTGTCACTATGAAACGAATGAACAATGAACGATAGACATAATAATATTTTCAAAGCGAAATCTTAACAATCGACACTTCGTGTGTGTGTGATATTGTTTTTTATTTGCACACCAGAATAAACTCGAAAAAAAAAACAAATCAGTAAAATAGAATTAAAATTGGATAAAGCAAAAATACCATACAAAAGCAAATACACATTAACACCACGTAGAAACAAAATAACAGACAACGTTTTACATTTGTTTTCCTCTTTGTTTGCCAAAATTTGAAATAAAAAAAAATCAAAAAGAAAAAAAATCGACAGCTAAATGAGAAAAATCCAATCGCAAAAGTAAAAACCATTCAGCGAATCTGTAAAGTTCTAAAAAATGTTTGTATTTTATTTTGAACATTATAATTTTAAGCGATTAAGTTGTTTATTTGTAAGTTTAAGAGAAACAATAGTTTGCAAATTATTTATATACATTTCTATTTATATGTTAATCTTTAAGTGTAAAAAAAAAAACAAAACAAACAAATATATATTAATTACAGATCGTGGACAATTTAGTTGAAATGCTCACAATAAAAAAAAAACACGTACATTATTTTTTGTTTTTATTTTCATTTATTATGTTTGGTTCCAAAATGAAAGTGAATTTGACAAAATCAATAAATAAAAAAAAGTAACTAAATCGGTTTCAATTACATAAAAATTAACAATTATAGTTTTTAAGGAATACAATTGAGAGAACTGATCTTCGTTTGAAATCATAGTTTCGAGGAGTATTAGAAATTAAATAATTTCGCAAACAACTTTTCACAATAAAACATATTTTATTCATGTCTATATTCTCATTTTATAATTATAGTAATAATTATTATTTTTGTATTTATCAAAATGAGTCTCCAAATTGTATGTTTCAAAAATACAACACTAGCCTATAGGCGTAGAATTACGGACAATATAAATCTATGCCGCTAATTGTGGACAGATAACATACGACAGTAAACATTTATTTTTGTGTGTGCTCATCGATCACCAACTTTGTATGGTGTCAATGATTTTAGGTCCTTTGTAGCAATCCAACAGTTGATACATAGTGATGGGTATAATTTGGACATTTTTTTATGCGATACCAATTTGACTTCAAGAGAAATTAAAGTAGCATGACCAAATATGCCAATAGAAGTTCAAAATTCCTCTCAAATTTATCATACAAAATTGTATTGCAATTAAAACCGTTTTAGTTATTTTGTCTTCTAGTTTTTATTTAAAACCAAAAATCACAAAAATTTAATTCTATTTCAGTTTTTCTTTACTATAAACACAAGCAAATATGCTACAAAATAAAGTTTGAAATAACACGAACAACAAGAACAAAAAAATAACCAATAAATTTTTTATACAACAACAACAACAAAAATCCTACCTCGTTTTCCATTAAGGATTATTTGAAATGAAAACAAAAAACAAACAAACAAAAACCAAAAAATAAAAGAAATTCAAATAAGAAATGCAAAATTTTTTAAATTAAGTAAAACAAAAAAGAGAAGAAAAGTAATACTGGAAGAAAAAAAGAATTGAACATTTAGCCTTATTTACTAAAAGAAAACCAGAAGAACAACAAACCAACAGAAATAACAACAACAAGACGAAGAAGAACAAAACCAAAAAATCATTTTCAGCTACTACGGCAGGATAAGGGACTATCTTATTCATTTCACAATAGTTTGTTTATAATTTCATTTATTAAATTGAAAAAGAAAAAATGAAACAACAACAGCAACAACATAAAACATAAATTATTTAAAAAGTAAACAAAAGACAGAAATTATAATATTAATGTAACAAACAAACAAGAACTAAAGACATATTAATGCAGCTTTTTTTATAACTTCTAAAACCACAATATATTTTATATTTTGCAAATGAACAAAACAAAAAACGAAAAAAAACCAAATAACAGATATCCAACAAAACAAAAAAGAGAGGAAAACCAAAAAACAGACATCAATAATGAAACAAGAAGAACATGACAGTTTCCTGGAAATAGTTGTTTGCCATAATTTACTGTACTAATTGCAATTATTAATATATTCAAATAATCTCAGATTTTAGACTGAATTGAAATCAGGGCAATATCACCAAATTCACAGAAGTCAGTTGAATGATATCAGGTGTTTATTTATTTATTATAAATATTTCATTAAAAATTCAAATTCAATTAATGTAATCCATAATCTTATCCTACATTTCCAACATACATAAAATTATTTGATTTATTAGAATTATGCATCTGATTGCGTTTATTTATATTAATCGTATATTTATTTTTTTCCAATTGGAAACATTTTTATTTTAATTTTTATTTAACAGAACATGTTTAACAAATTGATCAAGTTAAACCAACAAAAAATACATTTTATATTTCGTGTGTATATATATGTTTGTAGTGTAACACTTTTTCACATATAAATCTGATTTGATCAGATAATCACATTAAATCTCTATTTCATCAGACAAATTAATAAAAATAAAAAGAAAAAAATACAAAATTGGCTATTTATATCAAAATTTGTTATTGGACTGTAGGATATATTAGTTGTGATATCGCGTGTTTATGATCATATTTCGTCATTTATGATCATATTTGACGAAAACTAGAACCCGTTGTACACAAGTAGATATAAACTTCAAACATGTAACTTGTGAAAAAAATCTAGATGTTACATTTTTGTAAGCGCTGCTCACTGTAGCTTAAAAACGCATGATACAATTAAAAATTATGTTCTTAAGCAAGAGATCCCACAAAACGTCCCAAAATACGTTTATTCGTTCTCAAGCTCCACAAACTTAATGAAAATAGTGTTTCCAAGGTGGGCATTTGTCAGAAAACAATGCAAAATTTAAAAAAATCCAAGAATCTTGGCGAAATGCATTGGAATATACCACTGTTAATTTTAAGCTTTTTGAGTAGTCTATGCAATGAAGTTTTTGGAATCGCTTTGGGCTAGGTTTTCGTTTATGAAATAAATTGAATTAAATATACACTGGTGGCCAAAATTAAAACAACTAAAATTGCAAAGATATGAAATGCTGTATAACTTTTCAAAAATAAACATATCGTCTTGTTTTTTTTACCCTCCACCATAGTATGGAGGGTATATTAATTTTGTTTTTCCGTTTGTAACTCATCGAAATAATCATTTCCGACCCTAAAAGTATATATATTCTTGATCAGCGTAAAATTCTAAGACGATCTAAGCATGTCCGTCTGTCCGTCTGTTGTAATCACTCTAGCGTCTAAACGAGTTGAGATAGATCGCCAAATTTTTGCACAGAGTCGTCTTTTGTCTGCAGGCAGGTCATGTTCGAAGATGGGATATATCGGTCCACGTTTAGGCATAGCCCCCATATAAGGGTACCCCCCAATTTTCCGTATTTTGGGGTTCTTGAGCGAGTTTTTCAACCAAATTCGCTGAAATTTGGTGTATTGAGTTGCTATTGGGTACCCAATTTCTCCACAAAAAATCATACATATAGGTCAATTTTTTCTGGTAGCCCCCATATAAAGTTACCCTCTAATTTTCAGTATTTTGGGGGTTTTGATCGTAGTTTTCAACCGAATTGGCTGTAATTTAGTACTTTGAGTTCTTACTAGGTAGCAAATCTATCCACTAAAAATTATAAATATAGGTCCATTTTTTCTGGTAGCCCCCATATAAGGGTACCCCCCAAATATCGGTATTTTGAGGTTCTTGAGCACGTTTTTCAACCGAATTCGCTAAAATTTTGTATTTTGTAGTCGTATATGGTAACTAATGTCCCTACAAAAAATTATTAATATGCACCCCCTTTTTGGGGTAGTCCCCATATAACCCCCTTTTTTATATTAAAATAGTTATGCAATTTGTTCCGCGTCGTGGGTTTAGTTCTAAGACTCTGTTTTAATCATATCTCCTGCGGAGGATATCGAGATAAAAAACTAGAACGTAAGGTTCGATAATGAACTATATATGAACTATAACCCGTATTTAGACCTAACTCTTATGTGGGAGGTACCAGAAGGAGTGGACCGATATTCCCCATTTTCGATCTTGAAATAAGTTTGGAAGAAATAATAAGATGACCAAAGTTTGGATGAAATCAAAATTTTCTGGAACAAATTTGGTCCAAAGAAACTTGGGGTCTAGAACCATTTTAACCGTGTTTTATTGTGGTTTACATAACCGGTTTGTGGAAATGTCGTTATAGGTCCACTTTTTCATTTCAAGTGCCTGTCAGTATATCTATGGTGGAGGGTATAAAAAGTTCGGCCCGGCCGAATTTTAAATCCGGTACTTTATTCACTTAAAAAAAACAAAGGAAAATTCAATTTGAAATAAATAAAAATGTATGGAAAAGCAAATACAGTAGGGACATATTTCCTGGTCCCGAAGTTTTAAGGCATATTCTTCATACAAACCTGTATTTTAGAGCAAACTTTTCTTATAAAGAATTATTTATTCAGTCCCATCTTTCTGTTACAACGAACTTGCTATAAATATACAAAATACTTAACGCTGGCAACCTTCACAAAAATCTCAGGTTCATCAAAGGAAATCTCAGGTTTACCTAATGTATGGCCAAAAAGGACACAAAAATTACATAATTTGGGAATTTTATATATTTTTTTCTGGGAATCCTTGGTTTTGTCTTTCCTTGGATATAACGAACTTCGTCTATAACGAACTAATTTGGTCCCTACTAGTTCGCTTTAATAGTACTACAGCAAGTCTCAATTTTTGCTTGGACAAAACTAAAGCAATTCAGACATCTTAAATTTTAATGAGCTCCTAAATTTTAATTATTGTTAACATTGTAATTACTATGTTTTGGTTTTACACA